TTTTTTTTTTTTTTTTTTTTAACCTAATTCTAGGAATGCTTTAATTCTCCCTATGGAACCCAATACTTTAAGGAGTATGCAGAGAACATCCCTGGGGAATCAACACAAAAGCTCTCGGAAGTTGCAAAGGAGTGCAGCATATATCTCGTTGGAGGTAGTTTACTCTTAGTGACCGTCTCATTGAGGGGAAAAATGGGCAATGCCTATTAATGCCATTGGATCACGTTTCCATACAATACAGTGGGGGAAATCTTTCTTCTCACCTTTACAAAGGATCCATTCCAGAAGAGGATGGTGGAAAGCTGTACAATACCTGTACTGTCTTTGGGCCTGATGGTGCTATGGTGGCGAAGCATAGGAAGGTAAGATGGCAGAACATTGTTATTAAAAAGTTTCTCAGCAGTGTTGCACAAATGATTTAATCTGTGCCTACAGAATTAGTAGAATCTTGCATTAAATATAAGCTGTGTACTGTTAGTAAAATTGCATGTAACTTTTATTTGGGACATGTAAATGCGCCTCCCAAAGGAGGTCATAAATTTGTTCTGGATAAGGATGACAAAATGCAGAAGGCATAATTGGCTTTTCGCAGATGCTGGAAAAACTGTGGTAAAACCTGATCCAACTCATCTGTGTCCTTTGGTCTAGGTCTAAACACAGTGCCACTTCAGTGGGATCAGGATTTTCCCCTCAGGTTCCCAATGGATTTAGTCCTTCTGTTATCATAAATACTGTTCTTTACACACTTTGTGTGCTGTATGTATGATTAGTGCAGACAACCAAAGCCAAAGTTCTGTAGTTAAGCTGTGTCTGCCGTTTGTGGTAGATGCTTGCTTACTGTCATCTTCCACCTGGACATCGAGTTGGGCCTTCTGAGAGACGGCCTCCTATTCGTAACTGTAGAGTGTAGTTTCTGTTAATCTGACTGTGCACACAGGTGTCGTTTCTCAGGTGAACAACAGCTTATTTCTTTCAAGGTAAAACAAAAGAGAGAGTGCAAGAATGCAATGGAACAAATGAGGTGGTGCAGGTATTAATTTATTCTGCTAACTGATTCTACACTTAGCTACACTATTAGATCACTTTCTGACGTACTGTGTTGCCTTCCATCTATTATATCACACCAGTCTGCAAGTCCAGTAGTTGTTTGTAGAATGAGTACAGGCTCGTACTGTGTAAATATGAATTAATAATATAAAAACAGCTGTACTATTTGAAAGCTCCGGTCAGGAACAGGATCTCCCATGGCAAGGGAGGGGGATAAAGAGTGTCTGCAGGGGCTAAGAGCCATCTGCGTAGCTGAAGTCATGGGAACTTTATGACTTGGTGAAGGTATTTTCTGGAGAAGTTTTGCAGGAATGGGACTCAAATCTCTAGAGGGGAAAATATCACCTGCTTTAACATACTTTAAATAATCATCCTGACAAATTCAAGACATTTTATGTGTAACCTTTCTTTTGCAAAATTACTCATTAGATCAAGATACTTACCCATTTTGCAGGGATTCTTTCCATGAAGAAGACACAGAGCCAGAGTACAAATTAATTGTTATCTTTTTAGCTATTTTTAACTAGTCTCCTTTACTGCATGGGAGAAGGACATTCTATTTGGTAAATAATACAAACGTTTGATATGTGCATCACTTGGGTCACGGGGATTATATGTGTTGTTTAAAATGGCCAGCCTTATTTTTTTTTTTTTTCCCCAAATAACTTCAGACACGTTTCTGTAAAGAAGAAAACTGCTTTAAGTCATCTTTAGGAGATCTCGTGGTCTTAAGCAATGTTTAGCAATGGGATCCTGAAAGCTGGAATCCAAAAGAGTAGTCTAGATAACAGTAACTAGAAAACACGTGCCTAATAGAAAGAGGCTCAAATACCAAGCAGAGGAACTGTTATTCTTATTAATCACACTATAATTACAGGTTCATTTGTTTGACATTAATATTCCTGGGAAGATACAGTTCAAAGAGTCTGAAACACTGAGTCCAGGGAATAGTTTCTCCATGTTTGATACTCGTGAGTATAAAACAAGCCCTCTTTTTAAGGAGCTCTACCACAGTAACACTACAGTCATTCTGGAGTTCTCTTCCCCCTCCTTTTCCCCAGCAATGGAGTTTTAGACCGTCAGATTTATATTAGGCATTTGACAACCATGGCAAAACTAGCTTAAGTTTGTTCCAAGTGTGTCATTCACTTCTGAAACTTCTAAAAAGGCAATGTGATTAACGTGAAAGGGTTGAAACATAAGTCATGGCACTTTCCTTAATACATAATGGTCCTACTGATTTGTTAGAAGTTACTGTATTTTTTTATAGCAGTTATATCTTTAAAATGGTTCTTAGAAAAAAACCCATGGCTTGGAAAAGTATACATGTAGCAAATGCTACACTGGCACATTGTTTCGTGTGAGGATGATACAGTAATGGAGACAACTGTAAATCCCATTCCAACATTCTCAAATCAACCACATCAGATAAAAAAGCAAGACACCCACTCCCCCTGCCCCGTGTTCAAAACTTAACACATCCTGTTTACTGAGCTCTCCAAAGAGTCTCATCTCCCATGGTTGCTTTTTCCTCCTTGCGACATGCGTGCTGTAAGAAAGTACATGGCCGTAGTTTTCTTAGTCCGGGCCGAGCAGTAAGTGTTCTATTTTCTTGAAAATAATCGAAAAACATGCAGCTAAATCAGAGAGGAATACATTACACAAAGGCCTGATGTTACATGATTTTGTGGAAATGGCTGTTTTTAAAGGGTAATTAAGACCGCTTCCCACAGTCTTCCTCTCATCATGAAGCATGAACTCTCCCCCACAAATAGCCAAAGCTTGTTACAGATAAGGATACGCGTGTAAATACAGCTCCTCTCGTTACTGTGAGACATAAGGTAACAGCTGGCGGGATGGCTACAGGGAGTCTTGTGATTGCTTTTGTGTACTTGCGATAGCAATATGACCGTTGTCTCTTGTGTTTTGAGAACAGCATACTGTAAAGTGGGCCTGGGCATCTGCTATGATTTGAGATTTGCTGAGATGGCTCAAATCTACGGACAGAAAGGTGAGAGGCCGGGTCGCCTGATGGAGCATGGTTAGCCCTAAGGCCTGAACTATGCCGGGCCATTTCAGGGTGGTGGATCCTGGGCAGTCTGTGGGACTGGGCGCTCTTACCCTTGCCTGGTAACACAAAACACATCCTGTGGCCAAGACCGTGGTTCAAATGAGCATCCCTTCTCCTCGAGTAAAGTAACCATCATTTCCTGATACACTCACGTCCATTGCTCCATCAGAAAATGCGTATCCCCACACTTGGCAGCGAATCAAAGGACTTTGCCTGACAGAAGTCATCACCCGTGCCGTGCGTGGACAGGCTCTGTTTGGTCCCACTTGGGGCAGGGGTCGGGAAGTGCTGAATAGAAACCTTGCCTTGAGTCTCCATGTGAAGGGCCACGCTCAGGTAAACCATCTTCCCTTAATAATGGTTGGGTTCTCATTTTCTTTTAACAAAGGTTGCCAGCTGCTGATATATCCAGGGGCATTTAACCTGACAACAGGGCCAGCTCATTGGGAACTGCTACAAAGGGGACGGTAAGAACAAAGTAACAGCTTATATGGCTCTTACGCATCCAAAGTGGTGTTGCAGGGCCGCTCTGCTATTGGAGCTGCACCATTCCTCAAGCCTTGCATGGGACACCAAAATGATTTTGCTGTCAAGGAGAAAAGCAGGAAATGTTTGTCCTTCCCCCCTGCCAGCCCCTCCGCAGCTCCGCCCTTTCAGGGACCTTTCCCCCGTGGCTCTGTAAGCACCCTGCACACACAAACTTCTAGACAGAAGAGCCAATAACCATTTGAGAACTGCTCTAATTACAGACAGAAATAGACCCTGAGAATGCAGTTTTATTTATTCATTTGGTCAGCTTCAATCAACTTTGCTGCATACTGAACAAACATGTAATTCATTCTACCCAGCAACTCTGGAGCAGGTGCTAGAGGCTTCTCTTTCCAGGCTCTGCTTTCTCTGACCTTCGTATCACTTACTTACAATTTTGGCTAGCCCTTTGGAGAATGTATAGCTTGCCCTTCAGAGTGAATTCTTCCTCTTCTGCTTAGTTAATTAGTGGTATAAAAATTTTTTTACTCACTTTCCTACCCCTCTTTTCCTCATCTTTCTGTGAACACAGAGCTGTTGATAACCAAGTCTACGTAGCTACCGTATCTCCTGCTAGAGATGAAAAAGCATCCTATGTTGCCTGGGGACACAGCACTGTAGTAAATCCATGGTGAGTTCAGAAAAAAAACCCAAACCCACCTTTTCTTGGTTAAAAAATGTATTACTTGACAGTTACACTTCAGTCCCATGTTTCCATCTACTCTTAACAATGTTGTAAGTTCTTGGTAAAAAGCACCCGAGACTTAAGCCTACGTTCTCAAAATCATCATTTAAAACTGTCTTGACTGAAAAACAAGAAAGAAACTGAAACTAGTTTAACAGTATGTATTCTTTCCGGTAGCAAAGAAGCTACTTAGTACTAGTATTTAGCATTCGTTAAGCTGCTGACCTTTTCAGCTTTCTGTGAAGTTCAGTCTGTTATATACTATGCGTTACGGTAATTCTCTGCATGGAACAGAACCATCTTAAACAGCTTACACAAAACGATTCCATTTCCTCAAAGAACAACACTGCTTTGACATAAGAAAGAACAAGAATGTCTTAAGTTAGGTAAGAGACATATTCTGACTTAAGCAGAAGCAATGCAGCTGTGCAGGAGGTAAAAGTGACCAAATCTTTCGGCAGTTACTTTTCTTGCAAATAAATCCCCTGATAGTTCTCTTCCAGATGATTGCAAAGTGAGGAAAGCTTTATCTCTGTCTTGAGCTTTTAACTCTGTATGACAGACTGTATGACAGTGACAGAATACCCAGTGGGAGACATGATAAATAACGTTCCATAGCTCGTGCAGAGCAGAAGTATACGCCTATGAAAAGCCAGCAGAATCTGAGAGGAGAGAGTGTTCGTCTGCACCATACACAATAACGTTCCATAGCTCGTGCAGAGCAGAAGTATGAAAAGCCAGCAGGATCTGAGAGGAGAGAGTGTTCGTCTGCGCCATACGTGGCTGTCCCTGGTGAAGTTGTTCCTTTCCCTTTGAGGTGTATTGCATGCTGACATGCACTGGTTCTCACAGTTGCTCTCACCATGACTCTTGAGCTTCAGAAACATACTTCTGTTGAATATGTATATGTCACCTATAAAATGTGCCACATATAAAGCCTGGAAGCCATTTCTATCACGGCAGAGTTATGATGCTATTTTTAGGACAGCCCTGTCTCTACAGCTGTAGATATCAAGGGTAGGAACTCCCTTTTGTACAAACAGCAGCAACTGGACTGATGCCTTGAGGCCTCTGTGTTAATGCTGTGAACAAATGTGCTCCATTTTGCAGGGGTGAAGTCATAGCCAAAGCCGGGGCTGAGGAAACAGTTATATACACAGACATAGGTAAGGGTAAATTTGCTGGGGTTTGTGGTGTAGTTTTTTTTCCTGCGTTGTTTCTTGAGTACAGGTCAGGAGTCTAAGGAAGGAGTTTTTTACTCTGTGGGCTTGCACGTGCAGTTACAGATAATGCACTGTTCCCACCCCTTCTCCACCTTTGCTAAATTAAAACAAGAACAAGCAGCACTTGACCATACTCCTCCAGTGGCCTGACTTACAAGGAAGCTGCCGTGTTAGGGAAGAGCAAAGCTGAGGCTCCCCTCAGCCCTGGCGGCCCAGTCGCTGTGCTCTACAGACCCCTCCTCCATCAAAGCTGTTCTTTTCCCTGCCTTACCTCAGAGCAAGTCAGGAGCTTTCCTTTTTGACTGCTGTTCTAACAGCTCTTTCTCCCCCCCTCTGCAGATCTGAAGAAACTCGCAGAAATACGTCAACAAATTCCTATTTTAAGCCAGAAGCGTTGTGATCTCTATGGCATAGAGATGAAAAAGTGAAGCTGGGTGAACAGGGAAGGTTCAGTTGCCACCATGGCTGCTGCTTTCATCTTCAGAAGGACTCCCTTACTAGTTGCTCCACAATCTACTACTCAATGTGCCAGTTAACTGGAAAAAAAAAAAAACCCAAAAGCAAAAAACAAACCACCACCAAACTGACTTGGTGGCATTATCCTAAAATTGATTCAAATAAAACTTTTACACCTGGTCTTGTACTTTAGTATTCTATAGTATTTTACAGCTAGGATAAAGATGGAGGTGAAATCAGTTCAACAGAGCAGTAATGTTGCTTTTTATGCATCACAGTATTTTAGTTACCTTTGGGGGGCTTTTTTTGTAGAAGATAGAAAGAAATGGGGACCTTGTTCTCTCTGGAAATCCTCTGAAGTCAGCTTTGCTATTATGATTTTTCACTAAATTATCAGATAACCTAGAAGCATGATTCTTCCACCTCTACCCTTCTTAGTTGTATGTGCCTTAACAAAGTTCTTTAATGCCCAGCTTCTAACTTGGAAAGCTTAAAATTTAACACGCTGACCGAAACAGGCCAAGTTCTGCTCTGTACTACTTCGGGACGAAGCAAGAAGCAGCCAGACAAAACTACTACTATAAAAGAATCTACAGTGGGTTTTGGTTCACGTGTCTTGCCTGGAATGTCTGTATTAAATCCTCCTTATTGCTATTTCTGTTTATTGCTGAAGCGATGCAGGTTACTGTTTTGTTAAAGCAAAGACATGTGAATACATGTCACCACACCTTTGCTCTATATACTGCTTATTACTTACTTATTATTTAGTCTATATACTGCTCTATTTACTGCTTTCTTTAACATAATGCTTGAATGGGCTTTAATTCTGCTGCCTGGCAGCCTTCACCTGAGCAGGCTCAGGGGAGTCAGGCAAAAGGGCTAGAAAACTTGCACTGGTTGAGCCTTTCTGCCTGCAGCCTTCCAGAAGTCGGGTACTAGGACTGCTCCGTGTTTAAACTTATTATGGCTGCCAAAGGCCAACTCCCATCAGCTGCACGGGAGATGCTCCTTCCTTCATTGCTCTCACTGAAGAGCCTAACAAACTGGTTACTAAAAGATGGCATTAAAATACTTAAAACCAGCCTAGCATTTTGTAGTTTTGTTGGGTTTGTTGTTTTTTTCTTGGAAGGAAGACACCTTGGTACTTCTGATGTGAAAAAGGTAAGAATTTGCAAATGGCATTTTTTTTTCTCCTTGGGATGGAAAAAAAGCAGCAACTATAACTATCCAGCCTTTCCCACTAGGCAGTAAAAATGATAAAGCAATAAGGCTAAAGGAGATTTTAAAATATACAGCCAGGAGGGAGACAAGATTTTGTCTTACCCTAGCTAACCACCGGTTTCCCCGCAAACCACCTTACCTTTTTATTTGCATGTGGCCATCTCACAACTGCTCTCTTGACTTTTTTTTTTTTTAAAGGCTTCTCTGGAATGAGCCAGCCAATTTTATGGAGGAAAATTCATGGTTAAATTAGGCCAACCCGAGGCATCTTTCTCCCCCCAAAAGACAGGTCACACCACTCTGCTCACTGGCATTATCTATCCCAGCCAGCATTTTTTGGTGTGTACTTTTCACTGCATTTTGGTGTACATACTGTACAGGAACTGTTAAGAAACAAGCCGCAGAGCATAACGTGAAATGAAGATTTATTTGTTGAAAAATAAATATAAAAAAAATTAACAATTTACCATTTGAGCCAAGTCTCCTGCATTAGATTAGCGCCTCCCACATACTCAACAATCGGCATCCATGATGGCCACCACTGCGCTCCAGCTTCTAAATCATAGCAACTATTACACATCCATTTTTCTAAACTACTCCGTCTGTCTTTCCCGCCCCTCTCTATACTAGTTTAACATGCAGCAGAGCAGGAACTAGAAACTACTGTTGGAGGATATAAAGTAGTGCAGGATTCTCATGGGCTGACCGCTTAGTTTAAAAAATGTGAAGCGCAGCCTGTAACAGACAACAGAATCCGTGGCCTGGACCCTCCTCCCCTGGAATCCCAAATGGAGAGAACGGGTGAGAATCTGCAGCCGGCTGCTTTGGTGAGCTCGGCTGAAGACGAGACATGAGCTCAGCCCTCTTCAGTCTGTCAGGACAACTTCTAAGCACCTTTGTGTTCAGTAGGGTGTTTTTAGGGGTCTCCAGTGCAATCCACTCAGAAGTGATACAAATGGGACTGTGAATTTTGGGGGGTTTCAATGAACAAAATACACAACCAGTTCTCAGCTAGATCATACTTAAAGCAATCAATACTCAGTCTCAGTGTTGGTAGAAAACAGGCACTTTAAGTATCCATGTGAGACATATGCACCAGTGTTCTCTAAGTGTAGGAAACCAGCCAGTAACAGCCCTGAAGTAGCTCCAGAATTTCAGCCTACAAGAATTTAAATAAAAAGAAATGGCAGAAACCAGAGTAATGCCTGTTGAATCGGGCAGTATTATTGCCACTGCAGCTGGGGAGCCTGGTTAAAGCTGCTTCTAAGCTGCTCTTAATAGTTCCAGAATAAGTTACAGTACAGCTCCTTAGTACCTGTTCCCTCCCTCTTCACTTTCAATCTGCAATTAGATCCTAATAATTTAAGTCACAACTTCTAATCTCCATTTTGGCAAACTTGCCTCTTAACATGAACAACAGGGATTTTACATGATCAGGATTAAAATGCAAGACAACCATGTGTAGAAGCAACTTCCCAGAGTCTCTAGGATACACCAGGTTTATCCAAGTCTTCAGTACTAGCTTCCTACATCATTTCAACGGACTTGTTTTTCTTAAATAGGAGTAAGATTTGGTTTACTTCAGCTCTTGATCCCTGCTAAAGAAAGCTTTTCTCAAAGTTTACATGCACACCTGGCTTAAAGCAAAACCTTAACTGTATCAGCCATTAAAAAATAAAATCCCTCTCATAAAGGGATCTACCTGCATACACACATTAATGCTACTCAGATTCCCAACTTTCCTGGCTTGATTTCCTTTCCCTTATAATCTTCAGCTCTCAAGATCATACCTCTGCGGGTGATGGAAGCAAGACCTGTTAATTCCACGCGTCTCCTCCTCGTTTTTTCTTAAAGTGAGAGAAGGTGACAGGGAATCAGTCATTCATTCTTCCTAGATTCAGAGCAACCTCAAATAAGCAGAGAGAGCACCGCTGCAGAGAACGCTTTCATCAAAACCTGTTCTTATACATGTCAGAGAGAGAGACTTGAAGGTAATATTTATTTTTTCAGTTTACAGGTGATACGTCATTTACAAAAAAAATTACAGACAATGCATCCTTTCAGTGCAGTTTCAAACTAGTTCAAGAACAGGCAAGAGTCTGTGATGATTTGGAATGCTAGTATTCGACAGCACATGCTTTTTTTCCCTTAATTGACTGGGTGGGGTAAGGAATGGGGTACAGGTAGGGTGAAGAGGAGAAAATGCCAATGTAAGTAAGGCCATGCGAATAAAAACTCCTCAGGAGAACAGGACACATCAGTCAGTCTGGCGCAGTTTGGTTCTCAGGTAGTTGATGCAGAGATTGGAAGTTGCGAAAGACATTTGACACTTGTTATGTGCAGTGCCCTTAGAAGCTGCCAGCACCCTCCAATGCCTTCAATTCTACACCAACGCTATGATTTCAGATCACCTACTGAGCTAGCTAAAATAGAATGATTAAATCTTTAAGCCTACTCTCCACCATTTGAATCCTCAACTGTAGTTGCTGGGAGAAAGGAAGGTCAAGTTGAAAATATAAGCTGCTGCTATATGGTGGCACAACTAGAGAACAAGACAATTTGACCACAGCATGGTTCATTTCTTTAAAAGATGAAATGCATTCGACAATTCAGCACAAGCAAATCTATGATTCCAGGATAGAAAGAAGCCCAAATTAGTGTATTGTAAATTAAGCTATATCATTTAAGTATTTGCATGAGATTTATCCAGCCACATGAATCCAGGGAGAGGGAAGATGGGCTGACTGACTTCCCTACCAGAAAGATCAACCCAAAGCAAGAGAGCCCTCTGTGAAGTTCCTAGCTAGAGGAAGAGGCCTATACTGGTATTTAATAATTTGCCAATCCGCTCCTTGCAGAACAGTTGCTGCCTTTCTTCAGTACTTGTGATCGCGGACGAGACACAGTCTAAAGAACAAGGAAACCAGTACAGATTCTAAATCCATTATTTGAAGTTTTAGCCTACACTTTGTTCCTTATCTTACTTAATCCTGTGAAGTGGCTATTAGAAGGAGCAGATCAGAACACAGCAGTCTCTAGAGATGGAAGAGAATTTAGACGGTCTATTAGCTGTTACCTTTAAGCAAGAGCGTAGGAGATTACAAAGATTATATGCAAGCATGACCTTACCTTGGCAGCTGTAGTCCCAGCAGCACTTCCTGTTCTTCAGAGTCCCTCTGAACCCTCCAGAACAATTTCCTGTGACATTCAGGTAAGGACTGCTGCACAAGAACATGACTTCTCTTCCGGTGAAACCTACACTGAAGCAGCATTACCTGACCTCTTTCCCCAGCCAACCTTTTTACTAGCCCTCCTATACAGGACACCAGGGCTTTCTGGGCTAAGGATAAGGGCTACCAAATTAATTCCCTAATAGCTGCCACAGGACTATTCCCAAGTAAGCTATGCAGAGGGTGGGAGGGGCTATAAGGGAAGATTGTGCATGCTTGCATATATTTACAGGGATTCTCTCCACATCTACTGACTTTAAAAAAAACCTCTATTATTAAACAGTTTGAAAATTAATTTTTTCCTTTTTGCAAAATTAAAATCAACCCTCAAGGATTAACTGCATATAAAAAAGAAACCTATTTTACAGCACGGACTAGTATTACTTTTAAAATCAACAGGAAAAAAACCCACATGCTGTAACATTGTTTGATAAAGCAAAAATCGCCCACAACATAATCACCCAAAATGAACCAGTGTGAAGTTTTTATTTGCATGGCCAAAATATCTTCCTTTTGTTCCCCTGCAACTTTATTTCCCTTAAACACGCTTTAAGGTTTTTGCTGCAGAAGGAACAAGATGCAACACTGCATACTTCCTTGAACAACCACTCCCACAACACCTAAACATTTAACAGATGTAGCAAACGACAACACCATGAACGGGAAAAAACTAAGTTCCACCATTCAACATGGTCTGCAACAGTGTCTTTAGGGCTGGCTGAAGTGGGCAACTTCACTTTAGAAGGTCATTTCCCCCTTGTTTCTTTACAGTGTTGGTGGTTTCAATCCATACTTCTTTGCAACTTCTGTCTGGGCATAGGCAGCATCACAGAGTGAGTAGAGGTGGGCCATCTCCATTTCAGATTTGGCCAGGTTGATAGCTTTGTTGAACATTTCAATGGCTTTATCCAGATTACCTCTGAAATAACCCAAAATGTAGTCCGATTACGACTGGCAAAGCAAGCTTTTCATCTCTACAGCATCTTTTTTCCTTCAGGACTTATACTCTCCACTGCCAACAGCTTAAAAGGACTTTGGGAGGAACCACCACAAGAACTTGCGATGATGATGAGCAAACTGAGAGAAGTGGTTACCAAGCCTAAGCAGCTAGGACAGCTCATAAACAGCCTTCCTCTTGACAGCTTCATGGGTGGCAGTGGGGGATAAAATTACTACAGAGATAATGCTGGGACAACTAAATGAACTCTCACCTCCCTTGAAAAGAGTTTGTATACTTAAGAGGAGAACTAGCACAGACAAGAGCTCACATTATTTAAACAGGAAATGCTTGCAAAATTTCTTATGGCAACAGTTTGTCTGTCCTTTCGATGGCTAGGCATGTACGAAAAAAAAGACTTGACTATACCCCAAACTTTTGCACAATTCTAATACAATGCAGTGTTACAGAATAGTGCATGAGTCTTTCCTCTTTACCCTGTGAACTTGCAAAACTGCAGTCCTCTTGGAATTAAACCCAAATCATCAGGCTTGAGAGTATAGCTTGGGATCCTCAGTACAAATGGTCCACTAAGATATGTTTGAGGACTACATCAGATAGACAGCAAGCCTAGTAACAATTAAGGAAGTCACTTTAAATGTAGGAAGGATGTACTGAAACATACAGAGACTCATCTGCATGTTGTCCAATTAGTATGAAATTGGTGAACACGGGAACTTATCAGATCATAAAGCAGAATTATGCCATAGAGAAAGGAAGGCTTTACCTAAGAGGTACAGAACAGAAATCAGGACTTCGGCTAAGAGCTGGCCTTGCACAACACTGGAGAGAAGATCTTAAGAAAGACTTAAAATCCATAAGGAAATCTAAAGGACTACTGTAATTCAAAAGTAACTAAGAACTCTTAACACCACAATTCAACATTACCTTTGCACTTCGATCGTTCCCATGGTTTCATATGCAAAATCACATTTGTTATCAATTTCAATGGCCTTGCTTATGAGTTCTAATCCTTTCTCTAGATCTTGCTTCCACTGGAGCTGAAGTAAACTAGAAGAGAAAGAAAATTGAGAACAAACTTCACATACTCCTCCCAAAACCCTGATCACATAAGCAAAAAAAGTAATAAAAAAAAAAATTCCTAATGCAGTGCAGATAGTTAACTTCATGGCTTTTAAATTCCTCCCAGGAAGACTTCTTACAAGTTGTTTTATGAAAGAGAAAATGTCAGCACAAAGCTGAAATTAACATAGGGCTAAAGTAAAAGATACACTTCAAGTGGATACTCAATTAGGAATGAACACTAATGAAACTTTCCTAAAATTTGTTTACAGTTTAGTCAAGAGAAACTGTAGAAATACATTTAACAGCACTAAGGTGTTTTCACAGAGTTATTTCTCCTAGCTAAACTTCTAAACACACGCATTTAATTCAGGTTGATTAATCTAAACATGCGAACTGCCCTTGACCAAAAGGATTGCAAACTCAATACATACCCTTTATGAACATATGTAGTGGCATTGTCTGGCTCAAGGTCAATGCATTTATCATACATTTCATCAGCCTTGCCAAACTGCTGTTGATCAGTTAGTGCCTACATCAAAAGAGAAACCTACATGTCAGTACACAACCAAAACTTGCACTCTGCACTAGGCTAATTCTAATTAAAACCATACTGACAATATGAGATTGGATACAGCTCCCTTATTGTAGAGCAGGCCAGGCACATCAGTTACCAGAGTTCAGTTTAAAAATTGAGGCTTTTTAGAAGAAAGCTGCTAGGCTTGAAGTGCACAAATTACTGATCACAGTACCATCTGTAATGGGAGATCCACAAGCAACGTGCAACGTGTACCACAAGTAAAAACCACTCTAAAAGCCTGCACCTGCAAATTGCAACTTCTTCCTTTTTCAAATATACTTCTTTCAAAAGGAAATGCATCCATATTGCCTACCTACTTAAAATCAGAACATCTCATGCTTTATACTAGAACCAGCAGTATGTTTTCTTACAGAAGAAATTAGAGTCTTCTGTTACAAGTGCACTCTGAACATCTGTACTACACTCTGCTTGACCAGCACATGTCGTTTGTAGCAGAACGAAACTGTTACCCGAGTTCCATGCATTTAACTCCCAAATTACCTAGAGAATCCCTGACATCCATCAAGTGAGATGCCACACACGTGCAGGAATTCACAGGAAAGCATGTGCCAGAATTCTGTCTCCTACTAACCACCCTTGACTCTCATCACTTACATTCTGCTCCACCAATTTCCCCTCTACTTCCTCTACCCTACAACACCCATACCCATACATTCAGGTAGCTTATTAAAGACAGCATGTGTTATCTCAGAACTGATTCTCAAAAATCTTCATATATTATTTGAAGAAAAGTATGTTATCCAAGATAAAAGGTGCAAGAGAATGCAGCATTTTCTTTAAGAGAGAGAAAAATGTACCTGAGCATAGAGTGCATAGCCTTCAGCACACT